AGAGATAGAAAGTGAGAAATAACCCCCCTCCCCCAGAGCGGATGGCCATGCCGCAATCCCTTCTCCATTCTCCTCTCGGGATCTTGGGCACGCGCGCACATGTGCCTGGCGTGAGTTTCAGCCACTGGGTCCAGGACTTAACCGCTGTCGACTACATGGGAGTCCAGTGACATAGCCATTATGCTAACTGCTGGTCCCAATTTATCCTGATTTTTGAAGGAAGCTTTTAAAGCCATCACCTTTGAAATTTGAGAATACCTAAATATCTCTCATATGTCTTTGTTCACCTTGCATATAGATGTTGATTAACAGTTATCTATTAACTTGGCATTGCTACTTGAGGTTCAGAATTCATTACTGTCTCTTTTTTTGTGTCTGTATTAACACTTGCTGAGTTGGGTATAATATAAATGTGCACACAACTGTAATAAGTAGCATCTGTAAAGAACTAGGTGCAAGGAGATGAGAACTGTTTTCCGGTGGTAAGGGGAAGGCATGGTGAGCTTCAGGAATTTCAGAAGCAGCAGCAGGCACACATATACACATCTTAAGTTCTGACAGCAGGAGCCAGTGTGGCAGAAGAATTAATCTAAAGAATCTTTCCAACTCTGAGTTGGCCTAGGCAGATTTACCTAAGAGTATCTTCCTTTACCAAGTCAATTGCATTGGGCAGGAAGATGACTGTCCTTGAAAAGAGCTGTACCCGATAGAATCAATTTTGCAGAGGAGAAAAATCTCACAATAAGAGTAGTTTCAAACACAGGATGATCCAATCTAGGCAAAAATAAGTGCACAGTTTTTCAGTGGTCTTTTGACTTTCACCGTGCAAAATGAGTTTTATTCACAAGTGTAGAATTATGTGATTTATGAAACTACCCCATCCCTCTCAGAGCATAAGTGGTGGTTTTTGTGGTTTGTGGTGGTGAACAATTAGCTGAAGGAAGGCGACTCCTGCTCCAAGCTTCCTTCTTCTACACATGCCTGCATTTTGGTCCAAGTCTAGGCCTGTAGAGGTTTTTTTTTTTTTTTTTTTTTTGGAGAGATTTTCACTGTAGGGCGCGTGCTCTTGCCAGACAGACAGAGAGAGACATAGAGACAGAAAGCGAGAAATCACCCCCCAGGGGGGATGGTCACGCCGCAATCCCTTCTCCTCCATTCTCCTCTCGGGATCTTGGGCACACACGCACACGCGCCCGGCCTGAGTTTTAAGCCACCGGGTCCGGGACACGAACCGTGGTCGACTACGTGGGAGTCCAGCGACATAGCCATTATGCTAACTGCTGGTTCCCTAGGCCTGTAGAGTTTAAAGAAACCAATGGAGAGTCATGTCTTTTCAACTGTAATTGAGCAGCTTTCACAGAAGCTGTTATCAAGCTGATTTGCTCCTTTTTTAGCTTAAAAAAAGAAAAATGGAAACTAGGACTGAATCTGATTTAAAAAAAAAAGTTTCAGAACATAGAAAGAGATGCCTGAGTTTTTCCAGAGTGGATTACCATGGAGCTTTGTGGTAAGCATCTTAGTTGTTCCTTTTTGGCACTCAGACTTGGGTGTACCTTCCATTGTGTTTAAATAGTAAAGTATAGAAAGATGAAAAAAAAGTCATTGTGTTCTGATAAAAATGAGGGAAACCACCTTCTTCTAACATCCAAAGTGAAGCTGAAGACCTTAAAGGAAGGAAAATAGTCCAGGGAATTCCTGAAACCACAAGAAAATATGGTGATAAATCAGATTTCTTCGGCTAAAGTTACAGACTTTCCAGGACTGTGTTTTCTAGCTTCTCTGTAATGGTACACTTGAACCAAAAACAATGTTTATTAATATGCCAGACATTGGATACTATACCCAAAATGTGACATGGTTCCTGCCTTTGAGGTGTTTATAGCCTAGTGGGGAAGACATGCAAGCTAATATGGCAGTTTTTAAATGCATAATGATGAGTGCAATATTGGTATCGAGGGCTCTAAAGTATAGGGGAGAAATACACAAGAGCTGGGGGTTCAGAGAAGGCTTTGAGGAAGTGACATATACTGTGAGACTTGAAGGATGCATTTGAATAAGGAAATATGAAGCTCTAGGGAAGAGTTGGAAAGGGACAGTTTTATAGACAAAGGCCTAGAGGCAAGAGATTGTGTCCTGTTTTGTTATTTCATGAAGGTTTAGAAGAGGGATCATAGATAGCGAGAAGGTGGAAACCAAGGCTAGATATGTAGACAGAGGCCAGTTCATAAAATGCCTTGTAAAGCAGTTATAGCGTTTGGGTTTATTCCTAATGGCAGTAGGGAAGATGGAATGTGAAAGAAAGCTGGCAAAGTAGTCTACGTTGAGAAAAGAAAAGCTGAAGATTGCCTACGATATGCAAGATACAAAGCTTACGTTAACAATTCAGGGAGAAAGCAAATTAGGCTGGACAAGGTATTTGAGGTGTTGTCTCTGTTTCAAAGTCCGTGGAGAGTTTGTTTCTCAAGATGTATCCCAGCTTAAATCCCCTATTAGATGTAGCTGGAGAGCTTGTCAGAAATCTACACGACCATTCTGTCACAAAACAGCTCCTGAGATAAACCAAACAACTCTTAGAAAAGCTTTACAAATACTCAAAGAATTTGATCATTCACACACACACACACACACACACACACACACACACACACAAGCTTTAAGTTGCAGAGGAGGTGGGTAAAGGTGAAGGGAGGAGCCCATTCATGTTGGCATATGCTACAAGGAGACTGAGTTCCATAGGTTAGAACCACATGGGAGACCTGAGTTTAATTCCCAGTTCAACCTTAAGTCTGGGCATGGTGGTGCACATCTGTAATCACAATGACTATGCCAGGATGATGCAGAACTGTGAGCTCAAGGCTGGCCTGGGCAACATAAGAACACCCTGTGTAAGAAAAAACTGGTGCATGCCTGTATTCTCAGATGGATGTTGAGGCAGGAGGATTATGACATGGTGAGACCCTGCTTTAAAAAAAAAAAAGGCAATGGAAGAGTGATTGTATCTTCCATTGTAGTAACCTCTTGTTCCGCACCTTGCAGTTCACACGCATTGTCTTACCTAAAGATGAATTGTCTAATTGCTAGCATGTGTAACTCAAACAGGGACTTAAAATTTAAGTACTTTCATGTGTTAGTCCTATGCCTTTTTTTCCATGAGAGTAGAGTATCCAAGATCAGGACATACCTGACAATTTTCTTATGATTCATGAGGCAAAATAGAACATAGCTCATACCATAGCCATAGCCAACCTCAATGCCAGTTAGACCAAAGTGATGTTGTGAAAGACACAAAAGCACTTCATGTCCAGATGAAGGAATAGCAGAGGAGCTTTGTTATGAATCTTATTCAGATGTCCAATAAAAAATGTTATTTTTCTGACTGATGCTTGGGAATTTCAATGGAAAGTGACGATTAGGAAGTGTAATATAGTTTTGTTTACCATATCTCTTAGGAAGCTGGAACAGAGAAGAGTGTTTTCCCCCTGCCTGAACCACAAGATTTCTTTTTGGCCTCTCAAGTCAAGTTTGAAGACCTCATAAAAGATTTGAGAAAACTGAAGAGGCAACTAGAAGGTAATAGGAACTGTTCTGTTATTATGTTAATAGCTAAGATTACTTTAAAAATGTTTTAAGAAGATTATTTATGTCTGGCTTACCAGGTGGAATTGGTTCAGAGTTCATTTACAGTACATGACAGCTTCATGAAACTGTCCATGTCTATGCTCTGCTTGGAGGCATTGTGCTTATGTATCTGTCTCTCTTACTAGGTTCAATTATTTGCTTATTATATCTACATTTTGTTATAATTGTATTTTCTAATATTTAATAGCTATAACTTTAATAGTAATAATAGTAGCAGCAGCAGCCAGTTACTGGAAGCTTGCTGTTATATTATTCTTATTCTACACTAACAAGTGGGAACTACACTAATCTCATTTTACAGATGTGAACAACAAGGCTTAGAAAAGTTATATTCATACAGACAGTAAGAAGTGTGTTTATTGTACTCCAATCAGTTCTTTTCAATTAGAACTCATGCATTTTCTTACTATGCTGCTTGAGATATATATGTATATATGTATGTATGCATACATACACACATACCCTTATACTTTTGGTTTATGTGTAAGTCTAATAATGATGATAAAACCCACAATAAGCATTCTATTTTAGTTTAATTTACATTTTTAATTATTCAAAACAAAATGCTAAAAGCCTCTTTTGGCTTTTTGAGAAGGTGAAAATATGTCTCGCTTGGGTAGGAATTTTCCTTTGGCATTTCTAGAGTCTTGTGTTTTCACTGTGGAGACATCTCCTCATCCAAGAATATAAATACTTGCCTTGGAGCTTGTATAATTCCAATTGAAGAGCTCTATGGAGGATTTAGGGAGTGTGTTAATGTGGAAATGGAGCCCAGAGTGCCAAAAGGAGAGCTTGAGGAAATGAAGAGCTTCAACCAGGAATATTTTTACACTAAGACATAAAATAAACATTTTAAAAATGTTTATTGTGAAAGAGTGCTCAGAAACCTAAGTTTTAGACTGAGAACAGCTTGGAAATGGAAGCAAAGTGGGAAAAATCTGCTCCTGGTGGCTGGGAGAACCATTTATTTTTACTTTGGGCATAAAACTTGTGTAAATAAGGATAGTGGTTACAAATGAATATTTTTACCTTGTAAATTATTTTAAAGGAACATGTGGGGTTTGTTTCTTCTGTTGATGTGGTTGAGAGAGTAAGTTCAGTCCAATGGATGCTTCGTTCAGGAATATGATATGTGAACTTGCGGTAATTTTTTTTTTTCTCTCTTAAAGAACTGACAATTTTATCCTTATCTAACATGAGTAGCTTTATTTATGTTATATTAAAGCAGAATAAGCCATCATGTAATTCCATCCTTTCCCAGTGGTAGAATTAGAGCCCACCCTGGTCCTCAGGATGGCAGCAGGACTTAGCAGTGATGGAGGAAGACCTGTGCTTGTTCGCTCCATTGCCCATCTCCTCTCTTCTCTTGGCCCCTTATCAAGCCTTGGACTGACTACTTGTCTAGTCTTTTGAGCAGAAACTTGATCTTTTCCCTTGTCCTTCCAGGGGCTGCCTGGAAAGCAGCCTTAAAATTCCTTCAAGTGTAAAGAGACATACTAAGGGGATAGGAAGAGTGAAGTGAGAGTGGAGAAGCAGGGATTCCTAGCAGGCTTCTTGAGCATACCTTATTTTGTCTAGGCAGGCTCTTAAGTGTCACTCTGGTTCTCTCAGTACTTATTACTCTTCTGACACTACCCTCAGCCAATTTTAAGAAGCTACGAGATGGACTGGCCTTGTAGTACAGTGGTAAAGTGCAGTATATAGGGAACTGGATCCCACATGGGTGACCAGGGTTTGCATTCTGGTTTGGTAACTTGAAAAACACACCAGACATATGTACGTTCATGTCCAAAATTCTGGCAGGATGGATAAGTGGAGGAAGAAGAATTGTGGCATGACCATGCCCCACCATTTTCTTCCTTCCTTCCTCTCTTTCTCTCTGGAAAAGCTCATGTGCCCTCTAGCAATTTAGGAAAGAAAGAAAGAAAGAAAGAAAGAAAGAAAGAAAGAAAGAAAGAAAGAAAGAAAGAAAGAAAGAAAGAAAGAAAGAAAAGAAAGAAAGAAAGAAAGAAAGAAAGAAAGAAAGAAAGAAAGAAAGAAAGAAAGAAAGAAAGAAAGAAAGGAAGGAAGGAAGGAAGGAAGGAAAGAAAGAAGGAAAGAAAGAAGGAAAGAGAGAAAGAGAGAGAGAAAGAAAGAGAGGAAGAGAGAGAGGAAGGAAAGAAAGAAGGAAAGAGAGAGAGAGAGAGAGAGGAAGGAAAGAAAGAAGGAAAGAGAGAGAAGAGGAGAGGAAGGAAAGAAGGAAAGGAAAGGGAAGGGAAGGGAAGGGAAAGGAAGGGAAAGGAAGGGAAGGGAAGGGAAGGGAAGGGAAGGGAAGGGAAGGGAAGGGAAGGGAAGGAAAGGAAAGGAAAGGAAATAGAAGGGCCTCTGAAGCTGGCAGAGCTGTCTTTGGAAGGAAAACTGAGCAATCATCTCCATTATTTTTCTTCTTTGTACTGAGCTTCACCAAAACACACGAAGTACCACAAAAGCAAATGAAGATATAACTCCCCCCACACCCCACACACATAGATTATTTAAACAAAAATGCCCTGCTAATCTTTAGAGATGCCAGTGTTTGTAACACATGAAAGGTACCCAGTAAATATTTAAAGAAAATACAGACCATGGGTTCTCTAATGAATTTCTTTTTCTTCTAAATAGCATCTGGCAAGATGGCCAGATCGTGGCGGCCCGTTTCATCTCACATTCCCATTCAGGTTTCACCTCCTTTTCCATAAGGCCTTGGTGTGAGCCGAGATTGAATGTTTAATTGAAGAGGACATAATTTTCACACATACAGCAAAGATTTGATGAGGCTTTGAGGTTTATTGTAGCCATTAAAATGTCGTAGCTGCTGGCAAGGTCCCAGAAAATGTCTAAAGCTAAACCAGATGTGATTAGCAAATTTCAAGAAGTATCAGGCCCCAATTCTCCAAGCAGGCAGGACCCTTTAGGAGAAACTTTTTGAGTAGTGTTAAACACACCTTAATATAGGATGTAAATTAACCTATAACTGTTGGTTATTTAAATGTCACCGATGCACATCTTTCAGAGAGGTAAGAACTTCAGATAGCATTTTTATGAAGGTGGAATAAGCATAACAGGGAATTGGCAATATTATCAACTATGGTTTATTTTGTAGTTATTATCTATTGGTGCTTTGCATATACCATCTCTTTTCATCTTTACAATGACCCTGGGAAGCAGGGCCTGTCACAAGATTAGGAAGCTAAAGTTCACGGTATTCAGGTAACTTTCCAAAATTTCATGGGTGATAGACTAGCCGCATTTTGAAACTAGAAAAGTCTCTAAGGCATGTACTCAGTACCAAGACATCTCCTGCCTTTGGCCCAGAAATCTCCATATCCAATCGGAGATTAGAGCAAAAAGCCATGGGTTCAAGATATAAAGCCTCCAAGAGACAAACAGCAGAAAGACAGGCACTGCACTCTGCCGAAGCACACATGTATGTGCCCAGAACTAGACATGTAGAACTTCAGGCCAGGCAGAGAAAGCATTGACCTTGGGTTGGGGATAGGGAAAATGAAGAAGTGCAGGACAGATGAGTTATCAGAGCAAGCAGACAACAGTCTTACTTCAGATTAAGACTCAGACTTAGTTGTCAAAGGTGTAGTTTTTACTGGTTTGGTGAAAATAAGATGTTGTCAACTTGCATAACCATAAAAATACTCATTTTCTTACCTATAAAATGAGATAATTATCGGGCCAGCAGATGGTGTTGTGGTTGAGGCGGCTGGATCCCACATGGCCTACTGTGCAGTTTAAGTCCCGGACTTAGCGACTCGAAAGTCATTCTGGGTGTGTGCGTGTGTACATGCCCAAAATTCCAAGAGGAGAATGGAGGAGAAGGGATTATAGTGAAGCCGCCCTCCTACGGGGTGCTTTGTCCCCTTCTCTCTTTCTTCCTCCCTTTCTTTCTCTATCCAGTGAGCGCACGTGCCCCATAGCAAATTGAATAAAGAGAGAGAGACAGTTAGAATACCTGTATCAAAGGGAAAAAAAACACGTGTAGTTCCTTAGTAAGAAAAGCTTCAATAAAGCTGATTAGGGGTATGTACCTTTTACTGGAAAAATATATCAATACAAACTGTAAAATCAGTTCGTATTGTCGAGGGGCCAGCTGACTGACTCATGGAATAATGATACCCAGAGCACTTATACTTTCTTCTCTGCATTGTGAAGAGAAGAACCTTCTTAATGCTTGGAAAATGTTCCATGTTTTGTTCTCTAACTCTTAGGCAGTTTTGACTTTCCTAATACTGAGCTGTTATAAGAATAATTGGGAAAACACAAAAAATAACAATAGTTACTTTCTTTCATACTCCTTTATCTGGTTCACTGACCAGAACTCTCAGGTATTTTTACCAACCTGCATATGGAAGGTAGAATAATGGTCCCCAAAGATGTGTAAACCCTAGTCCCTAGAATCTACAAATGTGTTACCTTACATGGCCAAAAGGGACTTTGTCACTGTTGAGATGAAGAGATTATCCCGGGCCGTCCAAGTGGGCCTAATCTAATCACATGAATCTTTAAAAGTGGAAGATTTTGACTGTGATCAGAGGGAGATATAATGACAGAAGAATGATCAGAGAGATGCAGTGTTGCTGGCTCCGAGGAAGAAGTGGGCAAGGAGCCAAAGAATGTGAGCAACCTCTAGAACTGGAAGAGGGAAGGAACAGATTCCCCCTTGAGCCTCTGGAAGGGGATTCGGCCTTGCCAACACCCTAATTTTGGTCCCATGAGACTAGTTTAGGACATCTAACCTACACGCATAGGAGAATACATATGTGTTCTATTAAGGCATTTAAGTTTGTGCTGATTTGTTGAAGTAGTGGGAAGAAACTAATATACCATGCAATAGATTCTTTTTCCCAGTTGTGCCAGTTAATATCAGTCACGCACACACACACGGACACACTTTACACAAA